GTCCTGCTGTTTCCCTATTGATTCTCATCTCAAGGTTGAACATGTTGTGGGGATCCTTCAGCAACTTTTAAAGTGGCAGCCTTTCCCTGGTAGGGGCACTGAGATGTCTTCCTTCTCTCCTCAATGTTTATTTTCACAAGGCTTTGGATTCCTGTCATTGAGATCAGACTCCCTTTGAAATGTGGTGAAATTAGCCAACATGATGGCAGAAAAGAAAGAGAGACAGGCAAGCTGTGAGATCACACGAAGTTCATTTATTTAGGAACCCAAATATGATTCTGAAGCCAAATTAAAATTTCTTGTTGCTACAGGAAGTGCCTAGAACAGACAAAATGAAATCTTGCTTGGCAGGGTCTGATGGAATCTGCATGGTTCTGGTACAGATTCAGGAGGATTTATGGGATTTCACGCTTTTTTCCTTGTTTTTTCAGGAACACGTGCCTACCTGGCTTCAGAACACTCACATCTATAACTGGCCGAAGAATAAGAAGAACATCCTTTTGCGGTTACTGAGGGAGGAGGAATACGTTGCTCCTCCAATAGGACCTTTACCAACACTCCAGGTTGTGCCGTTATGAACGTTATTACTTAAAGTGCACGACAAGCAGTTGTTAAAGGGTTGTTCTTGGCAGGGAGCCAATGCTCTTCCAGATGGCTCTTTTTGCTGACAGAAGACACTCTTTCTGCTAAGGGAATTAGTTGTCTTGGGTAACTCAGGCTCGGCTTGTTCTCTACCATGTTAAACATCTATTTCTGAAACTGATGGGGCAGAACTCTTTTCTCTAGGTTTTTAAATAAGCTGCAAATGGAAAGAATGCCCAGTTTTGTTTTAACATCTGTTTTTAACATATTCCTTTATTAATCGATATAGCAAACAAATACCAGAAATAATGTCACAATAAGGGTAAAATAAAAACTACATCCTCCTTTTGCTCAGGGTTTCTTTAAAGACATTCCTGCCTTGTATAGCATTACCAAACAGTGAATTTGTATATACACTATTAAATATATCTGCCTTTTGTAAGGCTACCTTATATACTGCGTCAGCTTTTATTATTGCTGGGAACAACAGAGGAATGGTAACTGTTGGGTAACGCAAGTTTTCCTTAGACTGTCTGGCATAAAGACACTGTCTTCAATTAGAGGACTCAAATCTGAAATCTCTGGAGTTCCACTTCCTTACAGCTCGGCCCCTAACACCTTCAGTGTGTTGCAGCAACAGTCCACAAAAGGAGAACTAAATGCGTGACTACGTGTATGCTGTCAGTGCCATGGAACGCTGCAGTATTTTTTACAGCAGGCCTTTAGCTTCATTACTGCTCTTCAGCCCTTATTTAAAACACAGCATGTCAAAGGACAGCCGGCATTTGGAAAGCCAGCGATTGTTAAGAGAAACAACATTGACTCCTACAACTTGTATGCAGTATGGAACGATAAAATAATCAAAGATGCTGGAGAGCCACGGGGGGCTGGCAACCAGGAAGGCTCAAAAACATCACATCTGCTAAAGTTTGAACTTTTTTTTTTTTACAGAACACATAAGTACGACTTTGGTGAGGGTTCTTTTTTTTAAACCGCTTTAACTTTACTGGGGTAACAGTGGACCCTGTTGGCTTAAAATTCTGTGGCCCTTATTCTTTAGAGTAGCTGTACAAGGATGCCCTGCTCTGACACAGGACCTGCTTAGTGTAGACTCTTTCCAAGGTCCTCCTCAGCTTTATTATTTGCTATAGAATGACCCAAACACAGCTTTACAAAAAAGTACATGTGTTTGGTAGTCCAAAAAGTAAATTAGCCCAGAAGTTGATACTCCTGTTACATTGCCCAAATTATTTAATTAGCTTTCCATGAAGGTGGTGCCAGTGTGGTGTGTTGATACAGGACATGCTTTGTGGTGCTCAGGAGAAAAAACTGAAGAACCACATTACAGCTCTACTCAGATTTTCCTTAAGCAGGCTTTGGCATAAGGAGTTGCAGCCCTCTAAGAGCAGTAGGAGAAGGGTGTATAACTCAACTCTTATAATTTTGATTGTGGCATTTGCTGTGCTTCTTACAACTCAAATTTCTAAAGGGAAGCTCAACAGCTGAAGTAGGGAAATACCTGCCATGCCGGCAGCTTCCTGACGAGGCACAACAGAATTATGTTAGGTAGTGGTACTTCTGGTTACCTACTTTAATGTGGGGATGGGGAGTCCATTTTCCATGTGACAAAATGAAAAACTAAGCTTCCAATTAAGAAAATAACTTTCTATTATATGGTGACAAGCCTAAAATCATGACAGAAATCCTTCTTAAAAGGTCAAAGTGAAGACAAAAGGAGTGGCGTATCTAAACATTGACATTTAGGGTCATGTGGAGTGCCCTACACTATTGAGCTCAGCCTCCATGTTGAACAAGTCTCCTGAAATGCTACGGCATATCTGCCAACTCAATATGGCTGTCTCTGGTATTTTAAGATATCTGAATGTTTTAACACTGTGAACTAGTCTGTCTCAAACGGCTTCTCAGCCCCTTAACCAATTTAATAGGAAGAAGCTCAAAGATATTCAGTGGCTATGAGTTTCATGGAAATAATTCCCTGAGCGAAGAGCTCGTCCCAAACCCACGCGCTGCAGGGGGAGAGGCAGTAGGGCTTCAGGCCTGTGGAGGTCTCTTCCCAGAGGTGTGCAGCTGGCCAGCCGGCACTCCCAGGAGTCACAGCTGGCCACCCTGCCCTCAGACAGGGCTGGCCTGGGTAAGGCCGGAGGAGGGAAATCTGTAGGGAATGAGGCTGTGTCAGTTTTGCTTCTTGCAAAGCAGCATATTAGGGAGCGCAGTTAAGCATTCAAAACGATTAGCAAGGCTGGGTAGTAAATTCCTTTCATCATTTTGGCTGTCATCCTAAAATATGTGCTCTAGATTTACCACAGATTTGCTTGGATTGGGCCAGGGAATTTCATTAAGTAACTCCTGCATCATGTGCTACACAAGGTTGCATTAAATGGTCCAGTGATCATTTCTATTCTTCTGTTTCAATGATCCTTTTCTGAAAAATAATGCTAGCAGAGTGAGGAAGAAAAACTAAGCATTGGTGTTTAGAAAGTACAAAGAGCCCAATCTATTTAACTGCTGGGGTATTATTTTTTTTAATTGAATAACAATTCCCAGGATTCATTGATCTTTACATTAGTTAGAACATCCTACAAGGACAGAAACCATGATGGGGAGAGTGTGAGTAATGAGCTAGCAGCCTAGTGAATCATTTCCCCTAAAGCTTTGTATTTGTAGAGAGACAGATGGTGGGAGCTGTGAAGAGGGAGATGGAGGAGAAAAGCCATTTTTCGCAAACAACAAAAGTAGGGACAGAGGACAGTGAGAAACGAAATAATCAGCAGGTAAGGCAGAAGAGGCTGAAAATGCACAGGCTGTTTAAAAACTAACATGTTAATGTTAAAATAGATGGGAGTTATGGGAAAATATAGGAAGGAAATTACGGCAAATGAGAGCTTTGTTGCTGAGAGGGGAAAAATTTACCAAGAACAGCCCGAAAAATATATTTGTAGATGAACTCTTAAGTCAGTTATTAACTTTATGTGTACATAATGGGGAAGTAGCTGAAAGTATGCAAGTCTCCCTCCCGCGGGCTGGCAGTGCTGCCCAGCTGGAGCCGCTGAGCTGCCGGTACCCACCGAGACAAAAGGCATCACTTGAACGGCGACAGTAGCGCCGGGGGCTTCTCCTGCAGCACCTCTACATTTGCAAGGGCTGTGTGGGACAGGATATACACTGTCCCTAATGTGGGAAATAAGAAGCAAAGCAAAAGAGTTACATACTTGACACTGGGATGAGTGCAGCATTAAGACAGAGACAGAGATCATTGAAAACCAGCCTGCTTTGCAGGCTTACAGAAATTCAGATTACATTAAAGCACGTAAAGATTTTTTAATGCAAGACACCTGTGTGACAAAAAAAATGGTCGTAACGTTTTTATCCCACAGTTAATCTAGCTCGGCCTCTCCAGCAAGGGAAGTGTATGGTGGTTCTGGTACAAAGTTAATTCAATAAAGCCTTGCATGCAAGACATGAAATGCTGCCCTAAGAGCTCATTTTCTCCTGGTAGGCTCTTAACTGCCATCATTTGGTACCATTTAACAAAATAAAGCAGCAGACGTCCCTGCAGCCTCTCTGGGACCTGCAGCAAGGCAGATAACAAAGCTATCTCATTAGAGCAGCCCCACTGAAGGGCGCCTTGCTGGGAGCATGCCCTTCCCTCATCTCCAGCTGGCAACCGGGCTGCAGGTACCGGAGACCCCGGTGTCTTAATAACAGCATCGGTCTGGGCAGCAAACTTGGGCAGTGTGGTCAGGGGAGCTCCGCAATGAGATGTACTAATGGAGGAAAAGGAGCAATTGCCACCATTTGTTATGGTTCTGGGTTGTCAGATTAGAGGCGCTAGTGAAGCTGAAGGGATACCTGGTCTTAAAAGGGAAGGGAGCTGGAGAAAGGGGAGCTACGTGGCCTCGCAGTGCGAAAGGTCTACCATGGTAACAAAGGAAAACACCTCTCAGAAAGTTTCCTCACCCTCAGCGTGCAGAACAGGTGCACGTTATCTTCCAAAGCAAACATCTCTCTTGTTACGCTTTGGCTTTAATTTAACAGGTTCCTCCATGCGCACACCTGCAGGAGTCTGCCACTGTTTAACACATGTTTGGGAAACAGATCCTGCCTGGAAGGTCACGGCTTTCAGCAGTCTCCCCCTCCACCACCCTTTATCATGACACTCTGCAGGAACACACTCCCTTAATACCATGTTTGCAGTGCTGATGGGCTGGCGCTGCTCCTTCTCCCCGCTCCCCGACAGGGGCCTTCTGAAGTTCAAGGCTGGCACACAGCACACCAGTATTGTTAGAAATCTCCGCTGTGTCATTTCCGCTTAAGCTGTGCCAGTAGCTGCTCAGGTGGGTTCCCACAGCCAGTGAAAACTGCACTGGCACATGGAGATCTCACAAAAGCCCTCTCCGAGACACTAGGCCTTCCGACACGCGCCTTTCCCACCTTGTCTAATGCTTTTATGATTAGTGGAGGAAGAACAATATCTATATTTGTATTAAAACAATTATTGCTAACAATGAGAGGTGTTCTCTGGTCTGTGGGAGAAGCACATCTGGAGTGACCAGAGGTGTCCATCACATGTCTGCTCTGAGCCACGGCCGCAAACGGGTGCTGGGTGCTGCTGCCCGCACAGGCAAAGCCAAACCAGGCCCTGAGATGCCATCCCGCAGGATGCCAGCAGAGTGGCAGCCTCTCCAATGCCGGTTCCAAATTAAGCCAGGAGTAAGCTGGAAGAGCTCAGCCCCACTCCTGCTCTCCCAGGAGCAGAGCCCTGCCTCAGCCTGACCAGGGAGCCGTGCTCAGACCACCAGCTGTGTGTCCCTGTCTGCGGCCAAGATCACTTGTAAACAAACAAAAAACCATTTAAAACTAAGTTTCCCAGCCGGACCAGATCTGCCAGCAAGGCTACATTTGAAGGGCTTGCTGGTGTAGATGGGACCAGACAAATATAAACGCATGTATCCTCCATCGCGGCTTGGGGCTGACCGGGGAGCCGTGCTCAGACCACCAGCTGTGTGTCCCTGTCTGCGGCCAAGATCACTTGTAAACAAACAAAAAACCATTTAAAACTAAGTTTCCCAGCCGGACCAGATCTGCCAGCAAGGCTACATTTGAAGGGCTTGCTGGTGTAGATGGGACCAGACAAATATAAACGCATGTATCCTCCATCGCGGCTTGGGGCACGGCACGCCGTTGTGCAGATCCGTGCGAACTGGAAGAAATGCCACCAAGAGAAAAGGGAGGGTTGTTTTGGTTTTTTTAAATACCTGTTCTTCACGGAAAGGTATCGGGGATCTCTCCCTT